GGGGGGGGGGGGGGGGGGGGGGGGGGTAAAATTGGTTAACTTATTGTCAAATTAAATAACTTAAATGATCAACATTGATTTTGTTAAAACTTATTTACATAGAAGTAAACTTATAAGCTTAGCCAAACATGCAAGTATAGATACTGTAAATTAGAGATGCTGATTTTCTTAAACTCCTGCTTCCGTTTTGTTTCAAATTTACACAAAAATTTGATTTAACCCCATTTTTTCTTATTCTTGTTGATTTACTGCTTATACAGTTTTCACACCTATGTTCATATGATGCATAGCCGCAGGTGACCATTCTCGCGGATAAGTTAGTGGATTAGTAATAGAAAGTAGAACGCAGAGAATCAAATTCACTCCTAAATTTCAAAATATTCACCTGCAAAGTCCAAAATCAATGATAAAAGACAGTATTAATTATATTAAAAAATTGAAAGTATTAATATGAATATACACACAATATATGAACATATGATTTTGAAGGATTACCGGTCATGTTCCCCAAATGTTTCTGTTCTGCTTTTCTGAAAGCATACAGGTCGGTGTGTTTCATTTCCCCTGTTCGTATCTGTACTTCGTAGTTTTTGAGTATAAAAAATATAATAAAAGAAAATAAAATGAGATGAAGTGAATAGAAATACTATTTCTTTGGAATCCTGTTTTGTGGTGTTCCTTTTTGTATGTAATGCGATTTCACTGCAGGCTGCTTGTTGACTATACTTTATGTTCATTTGGATGTATCAATTTTGATAATTTTGAAAATGATGAAGAGTACAGCTATGATATTTGCTTAAGCAGTGCTTTGAATACATGACCACATTTAGTTGTTAGATTTGAATTCCTTCATTTCCGGTCCATTTTATTTGAGAATTCTTTGTTTCTTCATGTTAATGTTGGTATTCTGATGTCATTCATGAGTGATTTCACTTCACTACTCTATAATTGCTGAAATCTTTGTTTTGAATTTTTGGTTATTGCTATCAGACAAGCAAAAGATGCTGTAAAACGTATAAAGAAGCGTCTAGGCAGCAAAAATCCAAAATCCCAGCTTCTTGCCCTGACAGTAAGTTGACTTATGTTCTGAATTTTGAGTACTTCCATAAATAAAAAAGCTAATATCTTCTTATTAAAAAATAGTAAAGGTTTCTTTGATGGAAAGACAAAAATGGCAAGTAGGTGCTTAATGAAAGTCAGAAGATAAATTCGATAAGCTAATATCTTTTTATCAAAAAATAGCGAAGATTACTTTGATGGAAAGACAGAAATGGCATAATTGTGCTTAACGAAAACTGGAATATTAAAACTAGGTTCCAGGGTTGCTTGAATTAGAATTCTTCAAAATATTTCCACCGTAGCCTCTAAACTTCTGTTGTCTCAAGTTGTAATGTATATCATGCTATTTTCTAGCTTTTGGAGACAATTGTAAAGAATTGTATGGATATTGTCCATATGCTTGTTGCCGAGAAAGGTGTGCTACCTGCAATGGTGAAAATTGTTAAAAAGAAGGTAATTCTTGCACATATTGCTGCACGCTTTTGTTTTCTTTTTTGTTTTGGGTATGGATAGTCAGATACGCCACCTTTTCTCATTGCAGCCTGATTTTCATGTTAAAGAGAAGATACTAACTCTAATAGATACTTGGCAAGAAGCTTTTGGAGGAGCGGGGGCCAGATATCCTCAATACTTTTTAGCATATCAGGATTTATTGGTATTTTTTAAAGGATGTTTCAGCCTAAATATTATTCCCTCTGGACAATGTGGATATTTTTGCTTCCATTCTCTTGCTGTCCAAATATGCTTTCTTGCTATTTATTTTTAATATTAAAATTTCTGTGTTTTATTGCATAACATATCAGCGTATCGGAGCAATATTCCCTCAGAGAACTGAGAGGTCAGCACCTGTTATCACGCCCCCACAGACACATCCTCTTACATCTTATCCACAAAATCTTCAAAATCCAGAATCTAGACCGGACGAAGCCGAGTCATCTGCTGAAGCCGAATATCCAACATTGAGGTACATTATCTTGACCCATCGGTGTTGTCAAAGGAAGAGAAGTTGGAGAGTTTGTCCATTTTAGTAGATTTTGTGCCGGATTTTTTTTACCCTGAATTATTCGATACATGAGTCATTTTACCGGACGAAATGATCTTGAGAATTCAGTCTCTAAGAATAATGGCTTCCTTTTCAATTATACTTGTTATTTATTTATTTTTTTAATTTTTGTAGACTTTACATGGTGGAAAAAATGCAAAACATATGGATAACAGATCAATTGACTGATTAATTCTATGATACTTTAATAGTTGTTCATGTATCAATTTTTGATTAGCTAGTTTTTATTATTAGGCTACTGTATTTTGGAGAAGCTTTGCATTGTAAAGAAAATGCTGTTCAAAAGTTAGTTAAATTGGTTAATAGGTGCTGAAGTGGTTTGTCTTTTACCAAGATATCTTAATAGGACATACGCCAAGACGTTTTTGTGCATAAACCTTTCTTGAAATAAATGCATACGAATTATGTCATAGGAGGAAAAACATATGTTGATTTCTAAAGGTTACACCTACATTGACTTCTTGATTTTACTGTCTTTATTTTCCTTTGAATAAAAAATATTTATCTAAAGAAAGTTACACAAAATGAGGAAGTGAATTACCCAAATGGTCACTGAACTTCGGAAAA